ACAATGGATTGGACTGATAAATTGCAGCTTGGTTTTTGTCTACCTGATACAGGGATCATAAATCTGTCTTCCACCTCTTAGCAGTAGAGAACTTTTTCCATTTAACTATTTATCTAAATTAACCACCTCTGCCACTATGCGCTAGGGTTTTATTGTCCTAAAACTCATTATTATATAGACTTTTAAACAACCTACGAAAGACAGTACTGTTTAGATTGAAGAATTCAGTGTCTGAATATCTCGCTTTATTCCTGTCATTATTATTTTGATTTGAATAGATTGTAGATTGTCTAATTCGAGTTTGTTTCAATTAGTTTTAGGTTAGTTCACGTAAAAAAACAACTGCATTTGTGTTCACCAGACCGAAGCCTTGTTCCGTGTTTTGTTTCCCAGAACACACTGCAGACAAACTGGAGGTAGAAGAATAACATGCTGATGGTTTAACTTGGTCTTGTGTGCTAAAAGGCACGGATTTGTGTAGCAAAAAGCTTGAATTGGGATGTGGACAAGAGGCCGTTATTCGCAGATCAGATAGTCCTTTGCTGAACCAGTTCCCTTACAAATAAAACAAATCATGTAGAAGGAATTAAATGGAAAACCTGGGATTAAAATTATTTCATTTTTCAGTTCGAACAACTATCAGCCTCGCTCTATCGTGTATCGGTTTCAGTTGATGTCTTTAGACTACCCACTTGGTCGGTCAAAAACGAAGGAATAGGAGGGAGAAGAAAAACAATGGAGGCAGTTGTGAAAGAAAATTTGTTTGAATTTAATTCGCGAATACATTTAGTAGGTATAAGAGACGGTGATATATAACACGTAGGTTTAACACTAACACCGTTGACTGACTCTCTTGATCAGGGATTTCATAAAGACATGACGGGTCTTAGATTGACAACCGTAGGCTTTCTTTCATCAGGTTTATCCCCCTCTGAGCAGCTTTATTACAGAGGGATAATTCTTTGGCAACAACGACAATTTCTCTCGGGATTCAGGTGAGGCTGACAATCGCTGAATAGATCTACTAATGCCAATCATGAATTATGTGTGTGATCGATCGAGTGAGAAAGAAAAGCGCGATGGAGGTCACAGTCAATACGATCACCAATGCTTCTGCGCGATTGTGAATTCCAAATGGACCAGGCTCGGTAAAGAATAATAAAGATATGAATCTGGTCGGCCTTCTTGAACTTGCAGGATTTTACTTACCATGATGGTCAACCCAATCAATGAGCATCAGGTCTAACTTGGTATAGGAAAACACTCTTCCAGAATAGATTCAAATTATCCTTGTTTTAACTCAAAACTGCTTTGTAAAATAAAATGTATTCCAAAAAAATTACTCATGACCCAATTTACTTGATGTTTAAAAGATGTTTAAAGTGGGCTTGAATTTTTATCAGAGCAACCTCTGCAGTGTTGACTTCATCTGGAGAAGTGATTTCACAACAAAACACCAATGACTTCACGTATGTATAAAAAGAGGTGCCTCAAGATTCTGTGTAATTCAGTTGGAATGCAGTTCACTGAAATCAGGGAAACATTCTATAGTTATTTTAGACTAAAAAGGCGTTACCAGAGGTGTCAATCCCTAGTCTGGAATATGAACTCTACAAAGGGCAACTGCACGTGATCCTACTGTTTTACTTATCTGTCCAAAATATAACGTAATCATGTCTTTCTAAGTTATTATGCTTATCGAATCATGCACCTACTAAGACTAGTCTCATTTGTGAGACAATTTCACACAAAATTCTATAAGAAAGCAGATTTGACTTACGGTTAATCACAAACATAAAACCGCTGCTATACACTACTGAAGTCAAAGCAATCGACTATGATGAAGTTTAAGTTTGACAACACTACCTATCCTAATTCATGAGTGTTGTAAGAAGAAAATAATTTTATCCGGAGGCAGAAATCAATGAACCAGAATCGAATTCAGTTGTCTGTTAGGCAAAATGTACCATGCATTTTGGCTGTGGGGCGCTGGGAAGATTATAATATATCAGTGTCATTATTCTGAGTGCGTTTAGTTGTTCCATGTCCACAAGCTAGACCCTTGTGATTATGATGCGAACACCCTCTAATTTGTATTTTATTAGGCTGTGTAGTAACAAAGCTCGTTTGATCTCACTTTTTGGGAATGAAACGGGAGGAAGGATAATATACATTCGTAACTCTGTGGATTAAGTCATTTTATCTGTTATTATTCTAAATGCCAGGTTTTGAGCAAAAGTTTTTTGTTTCTCCTTACGCGATTCACTAGCGTGAACTCATTTAATCAGGCAAGGTAAACGGGTTTTCGATAGCGTGGTATTTCTTCCAAATGTTCAAACAGATTTCTATCTGTAGATCACGTATAGTGCTTTTGGGTTTTCTATTTGCATCGGATTGTTTCCTCAGTATAAATATCATGCCACCACTTGCAGGTCTATCTGATTTTCATGGTTATTTGCGATTTGTAAGTGACTGCTTTGAACCAGCTTTTGATAGAAACGAAAAGGGATGCAACTAGCATACTCGACTGGATTTCTTTTAGATACACTTACATACAATCTGATTGGTCAAAATATTCTTAGGTTTCATATGATTGTTTAAATAAAAAACATTCATACATTGTGAAATAAATAGAGGTATGATCTGATAAACATGTGAACTACACGCAGTAAGAACACTATCAATTGTGAGTAAATAAAGTGTGTGAGTATGAGAAGAAATTTTGGAATGTGAGTGGGAGGACTTCACCACCATCATGAGATGTGTTTTTCACGGCCATCCTAATAGCAGTGTTCCAATGCGTTCATACTGTTTGCGTGGCTTCTGCATAATAATCTTGCTTTCTTTGGCCCCTGCAGTTATAAGAATACTTTGATGTGATCCCCGAGTGTGAAGTTTTGGCACTGGTAAGAGACTATTTATTGAGCTTTCAAATTTACAGTCAGCTTTTAGGAAGAGAGCCACAGTAATACAAAGGATGCCTGAGGACATAAATAAATAGGGGAAATGGAAGGTGACGACGGGTTAGGAAATCAGGAAATCCAGGTTTCTATTCTGATAATCCTACCACTTGACCACCAGCGGCCCAAAATCTTGTTTCCACTGTCGACTACGTTCCTTTACATAGTTCAGCTATTTGATGATCGGTAATTACAGCAAAAAAACATACTATATGAGGTCTCGGCTGAATACCTGTTTGTACATCAGTCAATATATTAAATAATTTAGGGTATGACATACATGTTTAAATCGTATTGTATTGTACACTTTTTGCAAGCACAACGGCTCCCATTTCTGTTGACTAAAAGATATTTCCAACGTTTACGGAAGCATTTTTTTAATAAAAAAAATCATTCCTTTCTTTGTTCATGGAGAAAAATCAGCCACATTTGGTAGAAAATAACAAACAAATTTCCGAGAAGACGAAATAGAATTTGTACTTAACTTAATATCAGTCTTGCTATTAGCAGCAAAAATGTAATAAAATTTCATAGCTGAAACATTTCAACTGATGCAATACATATATATGTTCCATGACTGGATGCTGTTCACTTTCCGTCGTCATACATGCGCAATGGTTTGAAACGTAAGGGGTCAGAAAGGATGACTACAGTGAGTACAATAATGGTCATGCAAGGCCTAGTGCTTTCACTAACTGCTTTTGGAAGTATAGGGGTTTCTAATTACTAATATGATACGACCAAAGCCAACGGTTGCGAACCAACTGGGAGCGAAATCCACCAGGCACCTACAACAAGTGATTTAACTCTAATCGGTGTAACAAGTTGTTTTGGTCCTTAAGCAGATGCGGTGAAGACTAGTGGTGCCCGCGAATTTGATCAGTTAATCATGTATGAAATGGGTCACTGAAACAAGCAAAAAGTGAGAGCGCACAAAGAGAATTTATTTTTGACTAACGGCTACAATAACGTCCTAGAAATGTTTACAGTGCCTAGATTTGTTGCGAAAATGTTGCGTATTATTGTCTCAGCCTTAAAAGCATTGCATCGTTCATACTCATTTAGTTTTCACTGTAGTAACCTTGTTTGTTTCCGGGTAGAGTAGAGGTGGGTTATAGTTCTGGATGAAGGCATCTGAAACTAATCCTACTGCATTTTGCAAAACGTGTTCGCCCCACATATTCTTCCAACCTCAATCAACAACGATCAAATCAATATTTTTCTGTCCAGTAGGGTGAAGCTTGTAAACATATACTGATTATCTCACGGTGGATTTCGGAATTGTTCTATCTGCTGAGGTGGACACTTGTCATAATTTTTCTATTTGTCCAATGAAACAGGCGTTCAAGTGTCCACCAAGTGAATTGTGGAACAGGAACACTTAAGATTCCCGTGGATGGGACACGTGCATACAGAGGAACCAATGAACACTTTGGTTTTACTGAAGCTACGGATTTCAGCTTCTATTGCATTTTATTGTATTCTGAATCTCATATTTCAGTTAAATGTGCTAGAAACTTTTATCCACATAGCTGTGAACAAGCAGTACACCATCTCTTCAAACTTACACAGCGGTTTGATCATTCATTTATACTGCATTTACAAACAGCTTTTACAAACAAACTTGTCACCTGACCTCATCCAGCTACCTTAGAGAATAATGCCAGCTTTGATATGCATGTTCCGTCACAGACCGGTGCTAAGCGTACTCATTCGAGACCTAGTAGAGTGATTTCCGTACTGATCTCAGAATTGGCCACCCATATAAATGGGTGCAGTTTGCATTATTTAAGAAGCAAATCACTCCGAAAAAGTATGGCATCAGTTCTCTATTCTGCTGATTCCTAATACTAATATTTCGCACGCTTTCATTCATTTTGCACACTAAAGGAAGAAAAACCGTGTAAATTCGTATTACTTCAAGGACTGTGCATTCCTTGGTGGGCCAGTTGGTCTCCCTGGTCCAAATGCACAGCCACTTGTGGATTTACCGAGCGATCACGCTATCGCGCATGTATTGGAGCTTGGTCGAAGAAAAACATGCGACCAGATCTTTTGCAATCCTTGTACAGCTCTTGTGCCGTCATCTCTCGAGCACACGAGGGTGTGGACAGTCGAGATTGTCCGGTGAGACGTTTGTGTCCAAATGTGAACGGAGCCTGGGGTGAATGGGGTCCATTCGGACCGTGTTCAGCCACTTGCGGTCATGGAACAAGGAGTCGAATTCGACTGTGCAATCGACCCCCACCACAAGGTAACGGTCTGAATTGTCAGGGCATTGACACTCAGAAGGTTAGTCAAACACGATATTCAATGATTGAAATATAAACGGCGTACGCTCCTTTGAAACTCACAGTTTCAAACCTCGTTTCGTTGCATGATAATGCCTAAACGAAGATAATTGTTTCAGTGGTTCATTGTCATATATGAATTAAGACATCTATTCAAACGACCAAGGAAATAATGCCAATAACTTGGAGCATCAACAGTTGCATTATGTTTTTGAATAACCTTAAAATAAAGTGTACGAGAAACATCAAAATTCAAAACAAAAATGAGCAAAATCAATCTGGTTTGTCAGTTTTTAATATTTACCTATTGGAAGAATGGCATGCATGTGTGTGTGGGGGGGACAAAAGGTCTAATTTTTCCTTCGAAAAATATCTCAGGTCGCAGCCAATTAAGACGATAAAATAGTTTTGAGAAAAGATCTTGCATTGCAGAAATGGACAGAGAGATGTTCAATCAGTTGGATGAGTGGAAATTTCGCATTTGCATTCCGCCGCAGTGGTCATGACGGATACACAAAGTCCTCACTTTCGCCGACCGCTTATGGTCTTACATAAATTCAGTCAAACACTGTTTTGATATAAATATCCCAAAGTACGTTTTGGCAATCAGCTTTCTAATGGAAAAAAGCTTGTTGGTTGCAAGTGTATCTCTAATATAATTTCTCTGTTGTTGTATAAGATTTTTGTGTCGTTCATTTTGGCTATATTTACGAAACATCAAAACTCATCAAAATTGGAGGAAACATAAAATCAATCGTGTGAACAAAACTGGTGAGGAGCTTGTTCATCTAATGTGCTCAAAATAAAATGCATTACACTTATGTTTGTGACAGAACATTCGCAGATGAAATCTGCGACAAAATTACGAATAGAAATTTGCCATTCAACTGGGAAAATGTTTAGATCTTGTGTGATTTTTGATATTCCTCTTTACTACTGACGACATTATGTGTTTATCTTTTATTTATAGATCCCCTGTGAAGGTCCAGTTCCGTGTCCGCAGCAGGGACAATGGTGTCCTTGGTCAAACGTAATTCAGCATTGCAGTCACCAGTGCGGACCAGTCGGTATGGGGTTGCGTACACGCCAGTGTGCATGTCCGAAACCGACTTACGGCGGTGAGAACTGTGCTGTACCCCCGGAAGCAGCAGCACATGCAGAATATGAAGAGACAAAACGTAACTCCCCCGAAGGAATTCCCCTCCCTCCAGTGTATGCAATTGAAGCAATCCGTTTGGGACAAGGACGTTGGGAGCCGTGTAATCGACATCCCTGTCCATATTTGAAATTTCTAAAGACCGATGAGGAACAGTACCTAATTCATGATTTACAGGTTCAAAGATTTGAAGACGCATGGGCCTGGTCAGCTGGAGTGCCTGCAAAGAGATATGAACCGGTACAGCTGCGTTGTCCGCCGTCTCGTCTATCCCGAGTCAATGTATTTGACAAGCCCGGTAGATTTCCAAAAGCGCACTCCTATTGGACGCGGTCTTTGCCCCATTCGGCCAATACACCATCGGATGCACCCGGATTCCCCGTACACAACACCAAAACTATTCTGGTTGAAGGAGATCGGCTGACTATACGATCCTTGATTCCTGAAGCAACTGGAGTTTACCGGTTTGGATATGAATATGAACCTGGTTATTTCGAAACAGTTTGCTTTTACACTGTATACATAGAAGATTCCATTTGGGTAAGGTTTTATACGAGACATAATGCAAAAATTATACAACACAATGTTGACAAAGTATTGAAAATTGGTTCTCGTAGCTCTGAACTGAATTCTATTTCGCCTGTTCGCCGAGCTTGGCAATCTTTTTGCGGACGTTTGATCACCAGCCGAGGTGACATCATCTGTGCTTGTGAAGTGGCAGTCTTCTGCTTGTGTCCGTTCGTTTATATATGCCTTCCTCTCCACCGACCATTGCTGTCCCTTGTTCTCATTGTGTTCGACTGGGTTCGCCATCACAATGTCTTTTTAAGTTTTTCTTAATTTGCATGAATTTGCGCAAGCCCATAAAAATCCTATATACGTTACGCAAAACGTAATCAATCAGCAACACTGCTCACTTGTTCAGCTATTTGTGAAAGTGTATTCGTCATGTAAATTAACTCGTCACTCACCACTGGAATGGTCCTGCTAAGAGCCAGTTAGGACAGCTGAAGTTGTCGTCACTGTTCCCGCCTTCCGATTCTATTATATTCGGAGTACGTGCAATGCTGGTATTTCCTAAGAAGAATGATGCTTCCAACGCTTTTCAGTGGTGAATGCTACGTTTACGCTGAACAAAGAATAAACATTCCTAAGCAAATGAATTCACTCGAATTGTTTCCTGCCATTTTCGGCAGTTAGTTGAGTTTATTTCCCTGATGAAATTTCAATTTTATCGTCATAAAGGCGGTTTCGTAACGTTCTAAACTTTTATAGTACCTTATCCTACATACCCATAAAGCTAATCATTTTTGTTCCCGTATTTATTTCTAGCCAGTTGAATGACAAGATGACGGTTGTAATAAAGTTTACGTCTAATATGAACATATCTGGACATATATCTTTGCGAGGTAATCTTCAAGAGATCGACTAACTGTTGCTGACCGGTGAAAATTAAAATGGCTTGTGGTCCAATGACATAGAGATAGAGTTACACGAGGGTTGATAAACAGGTACAGCCTGGTTACTTTATTGTTTTATTGATCACATTCTAATAGACTGCAGCCTACTGACGGAGGTGACAGTTGGGTTCACTGTAAGCTTAAATATAAAAAGTGCGTTGAAAAACTTTGGCTGACTACTTCTGCTGTGATCAAGCTTTTATCCAATTGGCATATTATGAAAGATTTCCAACACTATGTGATTTTTCTACACATTCGGATTAATTATTGACTGCCAGGTACCAGTTTCATTTTGTCTGGGGTAAGTAACTGATTTGTTAAAGTAAAGACTCACAACTTAAAGAACATAAATACATGGGTATTTTTAATGTTTTAATGTTTTTTAATGTTATCAGCGCCACCGATAGAATGATTATCGCGTGCGCCTTTCGACTGACTGCTCTACTTTCGCACGCTATCCGTCTTATCGTTGAAAACTTTACATTTTCACTCAATATCATGGGATTATAATATTTGTCTCAAAGGTGCCCGGATCTTTTGATGGTTCAGCGGCTTGTATGACTCCAGTTTCTCACTATCCAACTTGAACCTGAAAACGCAAGCCATTAGGATCGCAATATGTTCCCAACTACACTCCTTTGTCCCAAATGACTGTTCTCTCATTGGTCGTCACTAACATTCGGTCCTATGTTAAAAATATCGGATTTAACAAGGGTCCCCAGTTCAAGAATTCGTATGAACACTTGTTTAGTTTGTAAACAAGAATCCTTGCCGAATAGGATATAGAGGACACTCTGTATCGATAAACGGTTTTCAAGTTTAACGATAAGATCGTGGGACTAGAGAAAAGAATACTGGAGGGTGCGTTTTAACGTATTTCAAAGTTTTCTGGTCTGGCAATTCCCATGTTATTTTTTATAATACTCGAAAGTTATTGAGTGAATAACCGTGCAATGTCACCCAAGATTTTCCCGTTTTACTCGCAATTTTCACAAACTTGGTGAGGTAGCAGATCATATGTCTTTATTTGAGGCGCTTACACCTAGTATTGTCTCTCTATAGATGCTAACCCAAACATAATCCTTGGTGACTTTAACCATACCAGCACTTATCCTCCTTTATCACTAAGTATGACAGATCTTTGTCATTCTCCCCCAAGATGTACGTCTATCTTGGACTGAGTATTCCTTAACCACACCACCCTTTTTCTGTAGCGCTAAGAACCCCAATTTCCATCAGCGATCAAATTTGCTCGTAGTTTGACTCTAAATTCATTCACAGTATTCATATAAATCTTTTTCTCGATCTGATCATATCAGATTTCGCTTTCACAATTTCTCACCCATAAGTGTATATCTTCCCAGCGAATCTCTCAGGAAGACTTCTTTATAGTTTTCATCATTTCCCTCGTCTATGTTCACATATATCCTCTATTCTCCGAAACAATTAGTGCCATTTATAATTACTGCTGCCCTGGTAACAGTCTTTATGTTCCCAACGGAAGAATACCTTCTCTACCACTAAAGTCGTTGCTAGGACAAAAGGAACGTGCATTCAAGTCTCACAATGCCTCAGCTGTCAGGCCTTTGTCCAGGATTATCAAAGCTTGAGTCACTAGACAGAGTGCATTGTGATTCGATCGAATTCTGTGGACTGGAAACAGTAAACACCCGCGGCAATGCATCAGACTTCACCATCGAATGAACAACGTACGGTCGAAGTGGGATATTTCATGTTAATGACCTCACTGCCTCAGTTGTCGGACATTCTCCTTGACTACTCGTTACGTGGTGTTTGTAATGTTTATCCATTCTAAATTGTGTTGTGTTAAAACTCTTAAACAGTTGTAGTTCATCCTTTACTGCAGACTTGGGTGGTTTACTTCCAGTACCCTTCAACGTCCGTGCTAACTCCCTAGATGGAGCAATCACCTCCATTGTAAATGAATCACTTTACTTTTCTATCATCCCAAGGTATTGGAGGCCGGTCATAGTCATTCAATTATTCTATCCTCTCCAAATGTTTTCGCCCCTTAGCATTAGTATCTGTTCTAAAGTTGACTAAACAGGCTATCCCCAAACACCCTCAGTAGTCTTTGAACATTCCCCTTGGTACTTTGCAGTTAGCTTACAAGCCTAATAGATTCATTTTAGATGCAGTCTCTATCCTTATTCATTTTATCTTTAAGTATTTGAGAAAATCTTTTATTTTTCTTTGGTGTGTCTTTCTTGACTACTCTTCAGTATTCAACTCCGTTCATCAATCAAAATGGTTACGAAAACGGAATTGTTTGAATGCATCAAGCAATGGCTAGCTTATCTATCCAACTATTTCACTGATAGAGAACAAACCGTTAGCTTTAATGAAGCTTCATCTAAGCCGTTGATCAACAACTCCGGAGTTCTTCAAGGAGCTGTGCGATCCCCATACTTGTTTTCCACGTAAATTTGTGATATTCATTGTGTTTCTACTGCACATATTTTTAAATATGCGGATGGGTTTGTGTTTTGTCAACCCATTTCTTCTTCCTCTGGTATGAACTCCTTCACCGACAATATTAGTCACATTCAATTATCTCCTTCTCAGTCGGGACTTAAACCCCAGTGAATGTGTTGAATGTTTATAAACTTTTGCATTCTCTTTAAAACCTATAAATAGCAACCCTTTATCTGGAGTGACTTCTGTCAAATGTCTTTGTGCAACTATGGATTACAAACTTCATTAATCAACTCGCATTTATACCATTGGCAAACTGAGGCATTCATCATTTCAAGTTTGAAAGCTCTGGTAGTTTTGCGCATCTCAGTCAGTTATTTCCACCTTTGTGTATCAGCGTGTTTTCCCCAGTTACTTTATTCTTTCCCAGTTATTTTCTCTGGCTTACTTTAACAGGATTTCAAAGTCTTACGCCGCAGTCTAAATATTACTGGCTGCTTTTCTTCTATTCCGGTCAGAGTTAACTCTGAAAATTTTAGATTATGTTGCAACTTCGTGTGTCAACTGTGCAAAGAAGCTTCTCACAGATCCTGACCACCCATTGCACACAGAACTGACATTTTATCGTTCCCATCCCTCCACATGCTCTCAATTCCGCCAAATTGCGTCTCGTATAAACCCTTATCGAAACTCAGCTATTCCCTATCTTACACATTTACTCACAAACAATGAAAGGGTAACAAGTGAATTTCGTCTCAACCTTGGACGATGAAATGTTCCTATGCCGTCTTTAAACACTTTTTCCGGCTGAATATTTTCTTTGACGGTTGGTGTGTATAGTTTTTTAACTGAAATGTAATCTTTGGTGCTTGCAAAAGTTATATACAATACAATACAATACAATTATTTTGTATTTCTAACGCGTCCAAATCCAGAGTGTGTAACAACCAAATTACAGTACATAAATCTTTAAAATAGAAATCTGTTCACAATTAATCGGAGGCAGAATATTGTAAAGTTCATTTTCTTAGAAATGCACAACCAGAGCATTCAGATAGCCAATGCATGCCCCACAATGCAGTAGGTCGGAGTTGGAAAACATTATTTGAATTCTTCGGCGAAATATGCTTGCATGATGATGTATTGGATTCATGGCTAGGGCATAGATGACTGAGGAAATGTCACCGGCAATAAACCGAATTCACTGAAATTTGAATAACAACACTGCGAATCATTTACAAATCGATTTATCTTTTACAGTGGTCGTAGTAATAATAATAAAACTATTACTACTAGTTTAATAGGCAGTTATACAAAGGGTTTACAAGAATGAGGTAGCGGTCAATGAAGGTTGCCAGGAAGAATACAGCAAATGTGGAAGCTAGTTGACAGTGACCAAATTCTAACTCAAGACGTCTGATTCATGACTGCAATAACCTTACCCACCCGTTCACCGCCGACGTAGCAAACGCAATTCTGAAATCCTAATTTTCATAATCGGTTACAAATGGCTTTCGTTGTTCATATTGACATTCAGTTGTTCGTGGGTATTGCAACCATAACAATCAGTGTGATGATTGTGAACAAAGTTGCATGTTTTCTAAACAAATGGACGATCGGTAGTTGCTCATCTGTGATTCCTGATTTCACTTGGAATTTGTGTCAAGCTACACTGATTTCTACTTCATCTCTGCCGTTCTCTATCCTTATTGCGTTTTAAAATTCCATTTTTGGTGTTTTTTATCTCACCTAAGGCCCTGATACGAACATTCATGTGTAACAATATTTTTCGACTGTTTTGATGATATCTCTCCATTACTGAGAAGACTGCATTTTAATTCCTCAAAAGCTTGTGTACTTCGGCAAAATAAGTGATAGATTAATGGTACCTCCTGTAGTTTGGCGAGTATTCTGTTTCGTGTGCAATATTTTTCCTGAATCAGCCGTAATGTCTGTCATACTATACGTCTGATCACACGAAATTTGTGCCATTATAGAACCTGCTCTATGGCAGCACCTTTGACCTGACGTGTAACGCCCTTGGCCTGTGGCCCGTACTTCAAAAATCTGGTCTGGGCAGCTGGTCCACTTATTGGGAAGTGAAACTGGACAGCGAACTGGAAGATTCTGAATCCGAATCTCATTGGTGGTACACAGAATTGATGAAACAGTACTCGAAGGAAGAGCTTGCCAAACTGAATTTATCAACTACCGGTGACGACCGCAGAGGAGAGCAAGGAACCGGATTGACTTTATGGGACACGGAATATCGTCGCATTTATCAAGCCACACCGTCTCTGAACGGGCGCTATACTTGTGTGCTGTTTAATGCGGTCAATGACACGTACAACAGGACATTTATCACAGATTCTTTTCAACTGTCTGTTGGTCAACCAACAAGTATTGGTGTATTGGTACGTGCGGCGAAATACTGCAGTCATAGAGCTGGGTGCAATTTCTGAGATTTACTACTTCATTTTTTATCAGCCGTTCTCCTTTAAGTGCTTATGATCTTATATCAACTTTTATTCGTATCCTGATTGTTTTCAATAATGAATCTAAAAAGATAACAGTTAGAAATGACTAAGCAACCATATCCAAAGCTAGGATATGTTGATAAAGTAAGCACATAACTGTAAAAAAATACGCAAAACAGGGGTGAAAATGTGCTTTCGAAACCCGTTCAAAGAGTGTGCTATATATATATATATATATATATATATCAGTTACATGTGAATAATAATGTGGAATACATATCATTGCTTTGGATTCAGCATCCTCCAGTCTTCGCATATTACCCTCAGTTCATCATATTAGCTATAAACATAGGAAGCACCATCGTTAGGTGTTGTTCCTCCTAGGGCTCATCGTTGGTGCGAATTCACCTTCCCACCCTGGGCTTTGAAATCCGAGCCTAACGCATGGAAGTCGTGCGTGTTTTTACCGTTCCAACCAGATCACACTGGGGCTGATCAGATTTACCCGTCAAGCCCGTCAAACATGTCATCTTCTTTGATATTCAGTCATTCATTTGGGCACGGTAGTATTCCAACCCGAAATTAGCTCTTGTAGTCTATCTTTTCCACATGTGAAGTCGACAGGCATTTAAACAATACGCTGTTCTCTACAGAGCACCCTTCTTCCATTTTTATCATAAGAACATTCGTCCGACTGGTCATGCTTGCTTTGAACAGTCTGATGTTATCTTGTATTATACGATTTCTTCTCTCTTTCAAGATAGTAGTCCCTAGATATTTATCTATCAGCCTTCAACCCATTTCTTTTACTAACTGATCTCAAAACTTTTCGTTTGGATTTCAATTGGGTAATTGAAGCGAAGTTGTGCCGTGATGTACATATATAAAAAGACGAGTGATCTTCAGGCTCGTTATCACCCTGAAACAATGCTTCAGTAATGTGCTTAATATCATTGAGTAAGGACATTTATGTGCGCGTTATCATTGAAGATATCACCTAGAAATATCAAAGCGCTACCCCATGGGTCCCCAGACGGTGAACAAACCTCCATTTCGTTGTATTATTACTGTGCTCAAATCACTTTCATTAGTTTAATACATATACTTCTAGCCGTGCCTTCAATAGCGAAGTGCTAATAGCAAAAATACTTAATAACCCAAATGATTGATTCCCAGTTGTTTATTTAACCACATAGACCCCCTTCAACTTAGATATAATCAAGTCAAATTTTTAAGCTACTGGCAGTAGAACTCTATGGATCGCATTATTAATTCTTACTAATTATTCTGGATTTGAACAGTGAATAAGAATGCTTCTTCTGTCCTCTTCCGTTTCCAGATAAGGGCTTGGTGCGTGCGGAATAAGTGGAATTTAGTTGCTCTATTAGTCATCGGTGTTTTGGCCTCAGTGATCAGTGGTTGCTGCTTATGGCGACGTGCACAGAATATTGCTCGTCTTGAAGTGTTTGCCAAGGAAGTGAGACGAGCACGCCGGAATATCAATCTAGCAGACTTGGATGCTAAAGTGGATTAAAAGCCACGTGACAGTTCGCATTTATCCTCGCTGGTAGCATTGTACACATTTCCAACGTAACCTGTCTCGAATGTGCTCTTTCCAATGACACAATTTTTCTTAATTGATTTCAAACTTCCTCCTTCGGACATATGCATAAAACGGACGGGCGGTGGCGGCCCGGTGGTAATGTCACCAAATTATCACCCCGGAGGACGAGTGTTCGAATCCCACCACCACCGCCTGACTTTCCCCATTTGTGTATTGTATGGCAGCCCTTCGATTGGCCACTTCCCCCTTCCTGAAAAATTGTATCTTTCTACATTCAATAAAAGGAAGTAAAATGAAAAAGAAAAAAGACATGCATAAAATAGACGGGTAATAGTATTGAAGTTGTCACTACTTTCATTGCGAACAAGAAGAAAGACAATGACAGTTAGAGAACAAATCAAATGCAAGTATGGTGATGGATTAATAGATGGAATACTAAATTTGATTGAAGGTCATTTCAGAAAACCGCAGTAACGTTCTTTGTTACTCCGCAAGATTTACTTGGGACAGCGCTTTGCTTTCGGGGATGGAGTACTCCGGTATTAAAGATTGCACGTTTATATAGGGAAATTGATCCCAAACCCAGAATTCGTTTCGTTTGTTTGATATGAATCAAATCCGTAGGTGACTCAGATTTATTGACAATTTTCAGTGGGTAGCATTGAGAGGTATCTGTTAGCGGGAAAACCATCTTGTGGGCCTTTTGCATACCAAACTCTGTACACAACTTCTCTTCTTATCTTTTATTTCATTTGACTTCTCGTTATGGCATATACTGTGGTGCGATTTTCAGGAAGAGTGAAGAGGCTAATCCAAGGGCTCTCGAACAACACAAAGAAGATGAGTAAAGTCCGGCGGTGGTGGTGGAAATAGAAGACTTAATCTGAGGTGATAAGTTGTTGAAATTTTCTGCTTGATCATCACCACTTACAGGTACTATAACTGCAACAAGTACAGGTTCCTCAAAAACAAAGTAGTCGATCAGCAGCAACGATATAATATCTTTCGATGATGTGGTACATGCTTTCCAGTGTCGCAATTCAGTGATAGACGGTGACCAATATTCCATGTATTTCATAAGTTTGGACATATCACAATAAACACCATGAATGAAACCACCTGTGTCCGAGCGTGAAAATCAACCAACAATGAACCAAAACTGTGCGCGGAAACTACATAAGACTGTAGACTTAGAAGCAGTACGTTACAGCTGAAAAGGATCTTTTGGATTCACCAGTTAATCGGCTGTGGCTGATTGCCACACTATGGTGATTATGCAAGGAGTACGCACGCAGCACGATACAGCTTTCCGATAGCCAATCAGGGACTGGATTTCCTGACCAATCCGGTGGTCTCAAGTGAAATCAATCAGATTGACTAAATGCATAAAGGCAACCAAATAAACCATATCGTTATCAAGTGAACATCAAAGAATCGGTCAATGATTGTTTGACGCTTGAGTGATTTTCCGAATAGAGTTAACTGCATCCCCAACTCCTACTGACCCTATCTGACTGTGCGTTATTCAGTTTGGTTTTAGTCCGAATCCGAGCTCGCGCTATTTGATTCCGATTATTATTCCGATTACTACAGACAGCCTGTTAGAACTGCAGGCAATCTCCACCTTGGATTCGGAAGCATTTGGATATACTTGGAGTACGCAAAAGAGTACAAACAAACTTTGGTAAATAAGAAAGCATTGTCTAAGTTCTTCATAATGATAAGTATTGCACTGATGAACAATTTGATCTCAACCTTAAAAGCATGGCATATTTCAGTAAGTGACCAAATAACACGATCCACATCTAATGTACTTTTCTTGACTATTCAGTCTGATTAATAAAGAAATACTGGGGTGTACATAAATGGATAGTTTGGTTTGTGACTTACCTATGAAAATGCATCACTTCTGTTAGCGACGTAATGGGCGTCTATTGAAGTACAACCTCGGGTTGGGGAAAATATTTTTTGGAAAATCATAATGATGGGAACCACGAGAGCATTGTTACATTTCACGTTTCCATTTACTGTTATAATGTGCAAAAATACCTCCATATGAAAACCTCACACAATAACTGTTCTGTTAAGTTTAGCGATTTGCATTATTACTTCTGGGTGGATTAGTAAATTCACAGTCGGTCTATAACCTCTCGAATTACGATACTACTTATTGTTATTCGCTCGAAGTGATTTCACGAAGTAGCAACCAGATATTGTTACGATGTAGGTACATTGAGACAAACAGGTAAAACCGATGGGATATTAAGTTAAGGTATATGTATAAATATCACCTGCTTGTAAACAAGAACGGTGCCAACCCCAAAAAAGCAATAATGAGAGAACGGTGGGTTGGGGATATAAAACAGTGAAATGGTGGAGAAACAATTACAGTGGATAACGAGAATGGCAATTTTTGTTTGTTACGCCCTATATATTTTGATATTTTTGTGATTTTAGAACGTCTGTGATTGGTCGTGACTGCAACGTTTGGCTTCTCATCCCAGAAACAGGCTCCGTTTGTGATATTTTCTGGGGTGCCATTGGAATTTGAAACTCAGATCACGTTCCTCACAATCAACCTCTTGTGACATGTTTTAAACGAGTGACCACAGTGGCTTAAGACCTACATATCCCGATAAATTTTCTTCCTTCGGTCTGCGATTTGCACCTTCCATGTATGTACCACTACTTATTTGGACTATATTGTTTGGTCGGACCATGGCCACCTGGATGGCAATTGCATGTTTCCGCTAATTTTACCTAGACCTTCGCTCTGTATTTTGGCTTTACAAAATTCTACCATCATCTGCGATTCTTAACACCCATTCTCATTTTCTTAGAAATTTGTTCTTACTAATATTCATGCGATCGGGACATCGTCAGCATACAACCTACCAATAAATCTTTAATTTTTTTATTCCTAACATTGAAGAGAAAACTGTGCAGTTTCGGGAAAGGGGATAGGTTGCAGTCATTAAGTCTGCCTGCGAACACATAGAAGGGAAAGTTGAACGGCGGTGGTGGATTCGAACATACCTCCTCCGGTACGATAAATTGTGACTTTCACCGCCTGATCACCACTGCCCCAGCATTTTCAACTTCAACTCTCGGAATTTTGAATAACTTTTAAATTCCTCTTCGAGGTGGTTTCATATTTCTCCACTCATAAGACCTCCTCTGTGCTAGTTATTTATTTAAACTCCCGTAGAGTTCTAGCCCCTCTATTCAATTTATTTTTGAAACCTATCGAAGAGCCAGTCTATTCAGAACTTTGTATTTCTAAGCTGATACACTTTTTGAATGATCGTAAATTATTTCCCACCTTCTCGACCCTATTAGCCGAATTTTACTTGACATATGTTTATAGTTTCGATGTGTCGATCCCAGTCTGTAAATTCGGACTAGAAGCAGGGTATTGATCGTTTGTGAGTTGTGTTTGGTGATGACGCCCCTCCAATAAGCCCTGTATTTAAGTGATTTGCGGAATTCAAGCGTGTCAGGAGTTCCCTGGATGATGGGAGACGGTGTGTTTGGCCTATGGAGGTCACCACAGCGGACAACATTAGTGCTGTGCAAGCAACGGTGGAGGAGGATGCGTGGGTGACAGTTACGCAGTTGGCGAAAGCCATCGTGATCCATCCACACCATCTTACGTGAGAAGCTCGGCCTCAGGAAGGTTTGCGCATGCTGGGTGTCCCACCAGCTCGGTGAGGAACTGAATGCAGTTCGGATGAATTGGTGCTGCACTTTGCGTGGCAGGTTAGATGATAGACATTCCTAAGCAGTTTGGGAGATAAGCAGTGGGGANGGGAAAAGACCTGGGTGTACAGCTGAGACCCAGGGACCAAGCAAAAGTCGGCTGCATAGAGGCCGGTTTGTGGGTCGCCTCCTCAGCAAATCCGATACAAGCGCAGTGCGGGCAAGCAGATGATGGCTGTGTTTATCTCCCAAAACCGGTCCTGGGGCTTTTGTGCCGCTTTTACCTTAAAGAACTCTCACCGCAGACTTGTACATCACCCACTGTCTGCCGAACGTGCTGGAAGCTGTTGCCAGGCGTCGCTTAAGTGCTCCAGCACTAAACTCCTTGCTGTACCATGACAGCCCACCTGAACGTAGCTCACGTCACCGGTCTTTTTGGCTAGAAAACGCATTCAGTAGGTTAGTTACCCTTTCTGCAGTCCATACCTCGCTCCGCGTGACATTTGTGTTCCCATATGTAAAGTACATGATGCGAGGAATCCGATAGGAGTCACCAAATGCTGCAGTGAAGGCCTTCATTGAACTGGTCGAAGGATTACCCGATTCGGCACGGTCGAGCCGTTTCACCAAATGGTTTTAGCGCATGGAAGTGTGCACGAATTCTGGTGGAGAACACTGAGAAAATTTAATGCTTATGTATTTTTGTGTAACAGAAAAAAAGCATTTTGTGCATCCAGGATCTATTTACTTAGCCCCCGTAAATATCGCTGTTTTATAGTATTTCTTAAACATAAAACGTCCAATGCAAAACGAAAGCACCTTGTAGATGAACAATAAGTTTCCAGAGTTTTGCTGAGGAATAGTGTATAGTATTCAATTAATGTCAACAGATCCAATAATTATCGCCGAAATCCACTTCTGGTCCCTCACGTATACTGTCCATAGGAATTACCTTCATAAGCTTGAACATCCTTGCTTCTACTTACCCCATTTCATTTTGTGTGGTATCTATTCCATCACACATTTGATAAGCCATTATTAATGTAATTTTAGTTTACTCATTGTCCCGTGTTAAGCCGATGTTTTTGCAAAGTTACTCATTTGATTCAATTGCTGTACACTATTTAATCATGGATCAAAATAAGCATGACTTGTTTAACGTATCCATATCATCACATATCAGCTTACCAACACTTTTCGTTAAAGATGATTGGCCCCTGGTTCTCTTAAGTTGAAGTACAATTCTTTGCACACCTCTTCAAGACCCAAAC